TGACAATAAAAAGCTGCATCATAAAAGACTTGATGAGGTTTGGAAAAGCAGAAATTGTAACAAATTGCTAGTGTTGGTGTTCTTTCCTCATCCTTTGAAAATCGTTTTGTCATTGCCTGTTAGACCAGATGGTACGTATTATTTGGGGGACGGAAATCACATACATTATAGAAACAATGAATTATCACACATTCACAAACTAATTAGAAAGCACATACAGTCTTCTGAATATTTCATTGTAATTTTAAGATTTTTTAAAAGTCTATTTCATTTCTTCTGCACTTCTGTTACAAACTGATTTAATGTATATTCCTTACAATGTTATAATTTGATTTATGTAATTTACAAGTGTATGAAGCTTGCCACCTTTTAAATATATGGATTTTATTACAGTATTGATATTATGCCAGGCTTAACTTTACTAAATGTCCTTTAGAAAAAGAGAGATTCAGAAAATTTGCAAAATCAATAAGAATTTTCATTATCAGGAAACGTTGTCTCCAAGGAACGTTGGTTTAGCACACCTGTGTTTCCATATCTTAGGTAGAAACAATACATCACTGACTAAATCAATGTTATATACTCAGAAAGATTCAAAATAGTTCAGTGCAAGGGGAAAAGTCAGACAAATATATACTTGAATAAGATAATTTCTAGCATAATGGGTCCAGTGTGTTAGGACTGCAGACACAAAACTCCAGACAAGCTGCACAGCAGGGCTTCTGGTGGTGGAAGAGGGGCTGCAGTGTGCTTCAGTGGAGGAGAACTAAGAGCATGCCAAGCTCAGGAACAGCCGAGCTGCACCAGGCACTGACTTAACTTTGTGCCTGTCCAGCAGGCGGCCATAGGAAGACTGATGTGGAATCTGCAGTTGCAGGATAAAATGGATTCTTGTGTAGGACCAGATTGATAGAGCCCTTGAACTGCAGGAATGGAGAAGCCAAACTAGGAAAGACATACGTGCTATGCATCTGCAAAGGCAAAACTAACTTTCTTCAGATTGATTATTTAGTGTTGATCCAGGAGATATAAAAATGGACATTGTTTTCATTGTATCAGGTTTAATTCATCAAGTAGGTATTTGAGAACATCTTTCTTACCTTAGTATAAGTAAGTCATCTTCCCATTGCCAACACAGTTTAGAAGGCTTATTGTACTGAACATTTACAGCATAGTCTGAAGGTGGAACACATACTGGGGAAACTCATTGCATTGTGCTGCTGGGACACGATTAATGTGAGCCTTCAATGTGAGACTGAATTGTCTTCTTTTATTTGTCTTTTGAATCATCTTGGGCATAATAGAATTTCCCAAAAGATGCTGTTAGTTCATCGCCCACTTGAACTCCTGAAAAGAAAATTTGTGCATTCAAAAATTGTCTTTTATAACACAAAATTTATTAAAATAACCAGGGGCTAAAATTACGCCTTAGGCTGCTTATATTTATTAATGGCACACCTTAAATTGGAGCAAAACTGACATGGGAAAGAATCTATTATGAAAATACATAGAAATTAATCTACTATGGAGCCTTTCATGGTTTGTGGCTCTGTGAACACACATTTCTCCATTCCAGCATACAAATGCACACACACATGTACATAAATACATAGAAACAAGCATACACACAAAAATATACATACACATACATACACATACACATACATATACACATACATCTATGTACATGTACAATGTAAATACACAAACACCTACAAATGCACATACATATGCAATGCAAATATACATACAAAAATACATACACATAATATAAATATACATACATACGCACATATACACACCAACATATACACATGCAATGCAAATATACATACAAAAATACATGCACATACAGTATAAATATACATATACATGCACATATACACACACATACACAAATACACATGCAATACAAATATGCATAAACACATATACACATACAACTATACATACATCCAATACAAATCTACATACACATATATACACATGCAATACAAGTATATATACATATACACATGCACATATATGCATACAAATATACATACAATACAAATATGCATACACACATGCACATATATGCATACAAATATACATACAATACAAATATGCATACCCATATACATGCACATATACACATAATACAAATACCCATGCAATGCAAATATACATATATATATATGTATATATATATACACACACACATACAAATACACATACTCATGGAATACAAATACACACACATACAAATAAACATGCAATGCAAATATACATACACATGCACATATATACATATAAATGTACATACACAGACAATGAATGCAAATATGCACACATGCACACACAGAAGCACATGTGCACACATGCACATACACATGCACATGTGATGAGTACCATGCTGGCCAGCACAGTTTGACTTCACAGTCTAATCTGAAAATGATTTGTGTAGTCCTCGAATGAGTAGGTGCTCTGTTATCCACTGCTTTAAGAATGTTACCTGACTTCACTTTCCTTGATTGCCATCTTAGATGAACACACGCTTCCTTCCTGTGTTTTGCTTTTCAGACTAAGCCATTAGAGAAGTTAGCAGAATTGCAGACATTTGTAGAAATGAGCTTTTGGTGACTCTCATGTTCTCCTACAGAATGAGGGTTCAATGAATGTTTCTTCTAATTATCATCATTGGTATTGTTCTGGGTCAGTGATTATCTGCTTTAATTTTTAGCTAATTAAAATGGATAAACTATTTAAATGGATAAAGTAACACTATAATCTAAATATAGGACTATTCAAGGGAAAAAACATAAGTATTTTACATTTACATCAAATTGTCAAAGTACTTTAAAGTTCAGTGTATTTAGGAACTGCTTGCCTTATGCTAGCTGGTTCAGCCACTGGCTGTTTGGTTCTTTACTGTGTGTTTTAGCTGTTTTTACTACCACTATGAAAAGAGCTTAATTCTATTTTGATATCTCATATTTATATATTTCTTCCTCAAGTTTGAAAGATGCTTCAAGTACTTCGGATTTTAGTTTTATCACATCTGATACTTTTCCTTTCTTGTTTATTCTGGTAGGATATGTGTGAGAAAGATAATTTTTTGGAAAAGGTGTTTGTACATCATCTTATGCATAAGCTGAGATCTGGCTTAAAAACCTTTTTCTGTTCTAACAAACAGCAGGAATATGCCTTGCCTTCAGAAGCTTGTTACCACCCCTGGAAATGGAATCTTTATATTTCTCCCACAGTCACCCTCAAACCTCTCCCACTTTATTTGAACCTTGGTCAGGTTTACCTCTCATGTCCAGTTCACCCAACAGGAGTGCTCATATCACTCTGTCCCTCTGGTACATGTCCAGTGAGTTTGTGACTGAATATTTTCCTACTGGGATTTGGATTCTAATCTCTCAGCTGGAATATAAGCTCTGTGGCACAGAGACTGGTGTCCTTTTAATTTGGGATTGTAGGTCTGACCTCATTGTCTGACAGATGCACTTTGTTACCAGCTGTTTCAAATCTGAAAAATTATCTGTCTGCTCATGAATCAACCTTTCCTAAAGCTACAGAGGAGAATGCAGTTCTCTGCACCATGGAAACTATCTGACTGTAGAATGGACAGTGTGGCCCTGTGTTCTCCCTGCTGTCTAAGCCCTTTCTCTGCCTGGGAGCTAGATCCTCTATCTGAACCTCATTTCCGGGCAGCTGACCCTCCCTGTGTGAACCGGCCCAGGGAGCAAGTCTGTCTGTCTGTCCGTTCTGCATGGACCTAACATTCCTGTGTGCAGCGCCTGCCTTTCCTGGCAGCTGTGCCCACCTTTCCTCCAGGTCTGTGGCACTCTCTGAGAACCAGGCCGCCTTTTCATGGACTAACTGGCGAATGGAGATGCTTCACCTTCCCGGCCTCTGACCTGGGGTGAGGCCCAGGCGATCCCTTTGTAAGGAGTGCTACACCCCAGAGCCCGGACCACCACGCTGCTTCCCCTTGGGAGGTTAGGCTCAGTGGAGCTAGCACAGTGTGCGGTGGGGCAGCGCCCCATGCCAGGCTCCTGTGAGCCACATGAGAAGCAGGAAAAGCCCAGCAGGGTTCCCCAAGGATTGGTTACTCTTTGAACAGGTGCGACCAGTGAGGTGACCTGCAGGACTTAGGCCTGGGCCTCAGGAAAGCAATGCAGGACTCCATGTGCTCTGTTCCTAGGGGTGGAGAGCTCTTCTAGAAAGTGAGAGGGGAGAACTCTGATTTAGACACAGCAAAACGTTCCACTACCTCACCTCCCTTCTGTCTACTTTGTTTAGCCTTGAAAATACGCAGAGTTTGTGTTACTTTGAATTATGAAAGCAATGGATATTTTTCTTCAGAATATTTTCAACTGCTATTTTTTATTTGGTTTTAACATTGTGAGTCTCTTCTGATTTTGTCATGTGTGATGTTTAACATAGAGATTTCCAGAAATAATTCAGTATGCATGGAAACAAGCAAGATATATGAAATGTATTTTCATTCTGTCGAATTTCAAGCAGTGAATAGACACATTATTTGAAAATAGACACTGTGTGTTCAGGAAAGTGTATTTCTAAAATCTCATCTTGTCCAGAAATATATTACAGACAGTGATTACTGAGAATTTAAAAAAAATTTTTTATGAGTTCCTTTGGTAACTTAATTAAACTGTCAACTGGTTTAACAGTGTTTATTTTGAAAATATCTTTTGATACATAAAATATTCTGTTCTCTTCACTAGTGCAGGTAATGTTTTGGTTAATGAAATCATTAAGAATAACTATCTCAAGAAATGTACAGAGTGCCTTATAGGAGTGGCAAATATTTTAGAGCTTTGTCAATTTAAAGTAATTTGTTAAATTCCAGTGACACTATATTTACATGTATATTTTACACTGTAGATTTTGATCTTCTAAATAATTATCTATATTATTAATATAAAGTTCATTTTACTCATTTTGTTTTTCTTCTTTTTTTTTTTTTTTCTTTTTTTAACATGCTGCAGTAGCTAACATATTATGGAGAGAAGAAGGTACTAAACTCAATTATTTTTGATATTGTACTATTTTGCTTGAATTTTATTCAATTTGTTGTTTATGATTCGTTTTGACATTTAGCTTAATCTTATTATATGTTGATTCAATATATCATTTGATTATATAACATTCTTATGTAAATCTGCTAGCATTAACACTCTCACTTTCTCTCACCTTGACTGATTATTGGTTTCAGTTTCCTTACAGGACAATTATACTGAAATGTTTCTAATAGCCCAAAATAAGGTCAAAGAAATGTAAGCACTTGCAATTAACATAATTTACATATTAACTTCAATTAAACCTGAGGAGGAGAGATTATAAACCTATTGCCTTATCAAGGAAATGCAAATTCTGTAAGATACAGTCACAAACTCACAGGGCCTCATTCCAAATGCAGTCCCAGACCAGCAGGCTGCAGGCCAGTGGCCAGCTTCCCCTGTGGCCTGCGGATCCCAAAGGCCAGGGCGGCTGCGGGTCCCCTGGACAGGGAAGCCTCCGTGAGAGGCGCCACTGTCGGCTATGGCCCAGGCTAGTGTTTTCCTCATTTAGTCACCAAGGTTGAGAAGCACGCCCAGTGCTGTGATAGCCTGTCCACGCTGCTGCTTTGATTAAATTCTTAGGGAGAAGGCGCTCATCTTGCCCACCAGAGCTGCTCGGGTGGGGACGGGGCAGCTGGAGGGCGGTCTGGAACCCCCACCCTTAGCCCCACCCCCCGGGCACCCTGAAGAGCCACAGCACCCTCCTCCGTGGCCCTGGTGGCACTTCCCGCTCTCTCAGCACCTCTGACTTGCACATGCCCTCCATACTCTGGCTTCCCGCAGAGCTCTAATGGAGCTCCGTGCACTGCTTCTACTCGGATAATTCGATCATTATCGAAATGAACACTGACCCGTCTCTTAAACTCCCGTGCCTCTTGAGATCAATAAAATAAATATTTCTCTGGGTGTCTTTAAACTGATTTCATCGCACCAGTGTAGTGGAATTTACAGCGCAAGGAGTCAGGGGTCCAGCGCCTCCAGTGCGCCTCTGGCTTACACTGGGAAGAAAGCAGTGCGTCAGTCACCTCCCCGCAGCCACAGCTTCCCAGGCAGCACAGAGGGCAGGGGGCGCGCTCCTTGCGGACCTGGGGTAGCGAAGTTTTCAGTAACCTCTGATGTTCTGAGAGGATAAAGACATTCTTCAAGTCCGTTGCAAATGTACAGGATTCTTTCAGGCTGATTAAAATTGTTCTGAGAAACAATCATTATAAGAAACAATTTTATTGGTATAAAAGTTTGTTTTTAGAACTGTATACAGTATGCTCTTATTATTTATAACTTTATTTGTCACAATATGTGATGGCTAGTACGTTTTTTTAGGTAATTTTAAGATACATACAAGAAATATACTTGGGAAAAAATTTAAATCTTTTATATAGAATTTTCATCAATTTATGTTGTTTCTTAAAAGAAAAAAGTTTAAATATAGATTACAGAAGGCCACATATTTTATTTTTATTCATGGACTTTGTAAATTCCTTTTTCTTATACTACAAGACATCACATATTCTAAAAGAATGATGATGAAAGATAATATACAAAATTGAAGAATCACTGACTCCCCATAGTGTATATAATTATTTTATTATTTTAGTACCAGGGATCAAGCTCAGGACTGCATGCTTGCAAGGCAGACACTTATGCCACTGAGCTAAATCCCCAGTATATATAATTATTTCATAAGAATAATGAAAAATTAGCTAATCAAAGCTTCCAAAACCAATTTCTACCACCATGTTTGAAAATGACAGTAATAACTTCGTGAATGACAGATCTCTGTGATTCACTTTTATTCCCACCCTGGCAGTGTGTCTTCCCTGTGTGTCTACCTTCTGCCATAGCCAGGAGAGACAAACCCGAGGAAGAATCTCAGGTTCTGTAAGATTAACAGCAGAGAGTGGAAATGATGGTGAGAAAGAGCCTACTGAATTCCTTAGCTATTGTACTTCTAAATGATAAAAAGAAATTAATTTTTAAAATTCCCAGAAAAATACTTATTTTATTGATCTCAAGAGGAAAGGCATGGGTACTAACTGGAAAGCCCTTGAGAATTCCTGGGAATAGCACTTAGCTGAGGGTTTGGAATCCGAACACACTTGACTGCTTTTCAGTACATTGTCATACCCAGCACGTAGTACGTACGCTCTGGGCACCATACCTGCTGCTGTGTGTCTACTCACTGTGTGTCTGGGGAGGTAGGAAGAGCATGTGGTGACACACATGGCAAAGATCTGGTAAATGTAAACACCGGAGAGTTTGCAAACTCAAAGATACATAAGATCTAATATTTGCCCTAAAAAATTTCAACTTTGAAAGAAGCTTCAGTATTTCTACTGGCAAGTAAGCCACACGATCTTTTCTTAAATGTATGCTTATGTCTTCAATACTATTGATTTTCATTTGCAATGTTTTTTAAGGTTATAATCAAGTATAATTTATCACTATAATTTAATAACATATTTCCTGATGTTTACTTAGTGAAGAAATATGTCAGCTGTGTTATTAAGTCTAATTTAGTAAGTGTATATATGGCAGAAACCTTGAATAAAAGAAATTTAGATCATTTTATCCCATGAGACTCATCTGCCACTAATACTCAAATAATAACATCATTAATTGTATTACTACACTTGCTAATGTATCTAAATATTGCCATTCTGGCCCAATACACTTTGTAGTCAAGTGGTGCTCCTTTTCTAGATTTCTTTTGTAGTGATAGGAATTGAATCCTTAAACAAGTCTTCCTTTAGTTGAACATAGTATAATAACCTTATTGATTTTATTCTTTGCATTATTAATTGTAGTTAAAGACACAGAATATTAAAATGGTACCATTTATGAACTGAAAATTTGTCCTTGCTAGGTTACTCAAGGTGAGAAGTGCAATATAGATTGCCTATTTTTATCTGTGTTGTTCTTTAGTTTTCTGTATATGCACTGAAAATGAAGAAGCTAACATCAACCAACGAAACTATACAACACCACAACTACTCAAGTACCTTTGATTACTAACATAAAATTATAATTTTCTAGTGATGCATTGTAAATACTAAGGACAATTTAAGTCAGAAGGAAAATGTCTTAAAATCTGTTTTCATGATTAAGTTAAAAAATCTCAAATAGATATTACATCTCAAATAGATATTAATTTTTGTTATTGACACAAATCATATAAAATATACACCTTGTATAATAAACAATGCAATTATATTAACATGGCAGCTACTGTTCTTGAGCACCCATCTCTCTCCTGAGGGTGGGGACAACAAGATGCCCACACCTGTTTTTACCAGTCCATTATGTGTTAAAGGTGCAGCATTGATTAGAAAATCCTCTGGGAAATACTTTTCTCTAGGAAGACTGCAAGTACGTCTTATATGCTGCTCCTGCAGAGGAGGAAAGCAGAGCAAAGAGAACACATAAGGAACAAACGATTATGGATTCCCTTCTAAAGCCAGTCCACTCCATTAGATTAACTGGAAAAGACAAAGCACACCTGTCTGTCTTCAACAGGGATGAAAGTTGGGGAAAGCAGCCTGCCTAGGCCTAACTGTGGGGACAGGGCAGACATGGGCTGGGGCGTCAGGTGTGAGGTACACAGTGCAGGGCACCACCTTAAGCAGGTGAAACTGAAGCCTACGTGGTTATCAGGCTGGAGGTTCAAACCCTGTACACCTGGAAATATTACTGGAGCTCAAAGAGCGTTTGCTTGTGTTGATTATTTCTATCAGTATTAAGATATTATAAATTAAAGCCGAAAATGTTAAAATGCTAATTAACTTGCTAAGAACATACACTATGGAAGATTTCACTTTGAATTCTCCATAACTGTCCAGAGCAGCCTTCTATCATCTCTTTTCCTCCATACCCATCTTCAAGTCAATTGTCTTCTCTTCTTTTTAAAAATGAATATCCACTGTGTTGGATACGTAGCGCAGCAGTAGAGCACATGCTTAGATCATGTTCAAGCGGCCGGGATTGCTCCCCAAACTGGAAACAAAAGTCATCAAAAACCTATTGCACATTTCCATAAATGGCATGTATTTTTAAAAAAAGGTAAATTAAAATGGACTCACGTTGTCATTTCTCATATCCTTAAAATTTCTGATGTAATAGATGATGCTGGATTTCCATGTCTGCTGCGGTTGAACCATTCTGATACCACATGTGACATCACACTTGATGTTGCCTGTCAAAAACTACATCTATGTTTGCACAAAATGAAAGAAAAATGGGAATGACAGTGTGGTATTGCTATAAGCATAGTTTTGAATTGGCAGGCTTGAGAGAACCGTGACTGAAAAGTTTTCTATACAAGATAAGTCTTTTAGCAGAATTACAGGTTTGGGGGTAAAAAATTATAGCATTAAGAAGTGAAATTTAGATGAAAATGATCATGCGGATGAACGTTCCTGTGGTAAAAGAAGGAAGTGCTGTGATTTGCCTCTGATTGAGGAGGTGGTTTGTCTGAATGGGTTCATCTCTCTGCTACATTCTCTCGTCTTTTCCTCCAAAGGCAGATTGTAGGAATTTAATAGCTGGAATAAAGTAGCAAACCCACTGTTTTTCTGTTTACATGGAAGCTGATAACGAGCGCTTTAATGAGAACCAACTTGTACCATCAGTTACCACTGTCCAGTCAGGCAATTTCCTCTGTGCTGAATGAGTCTTAATAAACTTATATACACAAATAGTACAGAAAACTGGAGAAGATTGGCACTGGCTTCATGTAGTCAGGCAATTCATTTTGCTCACAAAATTGAAATAAAAGTTTTGAGGAGCAACATGCCTTACAAAGACAATGGGAAAAAATCATCTCTTTTGGGTGAGAAAGGGAGGAATTTGCAGAAAATGCTAAGGTATAAAGTTTAATTTCATAAGTAAAGTGATTTATGCATAGCTATTTATTTTATGATTATTATAATAAATATAGTTATATACAGTATGTTGTTGTCATTACATTTTCATAAATACTAAGGAGTTATAGTCAACCAGTAATTGAAGGAGAAAACAAAATAAATTAAACCTTGCTAATTATATCTTGACAATATAAAGTAACACAGAAGGCAGTTTGTGCTTTATGAAGCTGCTTGTGTGCAATTCATATTTTAAAAGGAAGACCCTCAGATTTAGGGTAGAGATTTGGATGTATTAAGCGATTTTTAAAGGAAAATACAGTTCAGAAATCTCATAAGTGCAATTAATCGTAGTGGGATTTCACAGACCGTGTTGTGTTTACAATACAGTAAAACAACATAATAAAAATATCCAGAGGAGTGGGGAAAGATTTCAAGAAGTTTGCCAGCCGTCTGGGGTCTGAGTGTTACCAGTTTCAAACAAAAATTCGAACTCAAGACCTCAGAGCAGAACTTGGCAGTGTCAAGGAGGGCAGTTAAGCTCATTCACAAAGGAGAAGAGCTTTGTAATCAGAGTCCCACACCTCAGGAAACAGATCGAGGAAATTAGACACCACACCCGACTTGGTTATGTTCATAAGTCTCACAGGAGTTTTGACACAATGATTACTGCATCAACAATGTTAAATCGATGCTGATGTATAGCATGTGTCACTCTTACCTGATGTTTATCTGCAGTCGTCATTGATGTAGATCAAGTTACTTAGCAAAAGCAAACTGATGGCTTTCTCATTAAGCTTTATCTTTTGGGCATGGGATTTGTATTCCTTTATATGTGATTATATTTACTGACAATGACTAAGTTTTACTTCATGAAAAAGAAAGATTTGAATTTTGCTTTGCTAGTTCTGCTACTGCTCTGTAGTATTTCACCTTAATATACTACTCCGGAAATAGAATGCCTAATTAGCTAATAGACAGTGCTTATTAATACATTAACACTGAAAATTACTGATAAAAATCATATTAACCTATGCTAAATCTGAAGCCTTTTATAATGTACATATATAAGATTGAAGTAATTTCACGTGATGTAAGAAAAAGTGTGTATACTCTATGCAGAAACACCAGTGAAACTTTATTTGAGCACATTGCATTCCAAGACAAAAGTAGATGTGATTAGTTCAAAATACATGAGTTTGATGATCGCCAAGAGCCTATTTATAAAATTAATAACCAAATATCTACATGAACTCTTTGGTTGCGATCTTCCATAGATCTTGGTAGGCCTTGCAGGTGGTCTCTACTGAAAAAGAATTTTTCTGGGGAAATTTTATTTTTGGATTTAATTGACTTCTCCTTACAGATATTTTTTATCATTTCAACATTTTAAGGAACAATCACTTGGCTTTTCTTAATATGAGATTGCAGTTGTATTTCTTGCCTTTAATAATAGCATGTGCTACATTGAATAATGGAGGATAAAATTAGGCAGAATAAAGTTGATTACTGCTCAGATCAGTACAACTGGAAAAAGAAGCTATGCAGGTTCAGGTCAGAGGAAGAAGACTTTGCGTGCTAGGAAGGGCTGAGCACGTGGAAAAAGAGCAAAGAGTGGGGACACAGAAGATGGGGTGCGTGCATACCTGGGAACACCCAAGCTCACACTTTTACCCCAGCCACATTCTCTGCAGGGCAGTGCATTTCTGAGATGCCACACACCCAGAGCAGTCATGATTTAAATTGTTACACTGATATTTTTGTACTACCTTAAGTCCATCATTTTTTAACTATAGAACTAGAACCTCAAAAATGCTTATATAAAACTAACATCCAAGTTTTCTCTGCAACATCATTTCATCAAAATATATTTTGGGAAAATATATATTCTTATAATCTGCTGGTCTCCTAAAAGCAACTATGTAAAGTCCCACAAGAAAGAAAATTTTATTTTACTCAGTGTACTCTAAAAATATCAGAATAAAATTAATTCTTGGCAATTACTTTTATTACTTAACTAAATTAAGTGGGTGAGGACTCAAAATAATGTATTTATTAAAGAGTTTGTAGTTCTCTTCATAGTTGTTTAAAATATATGAGACATTTATTAAGTTAAAGAATCCACTAAATTGAGATTAGGAAGAATAAATCCAGATGTTTGCATCATAACACAAATTGATGTGGGAGTGCAGTGCGGTTTCCATAGAGATAGCTTCAATAACATCATAAACTTTATAATTTGATCTCCTGCTAGAGCTATAAGGGATTCTAGGTCTTTGCCGTCAAGCTTTCTGATAATTTTATCTTGCACTTTTGAATGTGTTTCACTTCCTAAGGTCTGGGAATTGGGAACATGTTCTATGTTTTTTATGAAGATGGAATCAAAGTGATACAACCCATAGAATGTGAATTTCAGAGGCACATTAAGCCCAGTGAAAAGCTCCTCGGATTTCAGGTAAGCGCTGTATTTTAAGAATTTCTTCATGATTTCATGCAGCAACTGTGCTGTGTAGACCTGCATTTTGGAAATAGAGTGACTCTGTACATGTATGAGATGGGTGTTAGAAAGGAAATATTGAAACTATGATATTGACCTTTAGCCGATGAAGATTTTTATATCTAAGGAAGAAAACAAAGTCACATATTATAAATTTCTAAATACTAGTTTAACATTTGAAATATCACAAGTTAACTCAGCAGTCAATGATGTCCCTAATTAGGTTCTTAATTTGAGAGGACGTCCATTTCCATTGGCGGTCATTACTGTAGTAAAATGAAAGACAGTGACCTGGAAGCACTTTGTACCTGCATTGCAACGGCATCCCCTCTCCAGCCTCCCCTTCCTGGTGCAAAGGTTGTTATGCAACGCAGTTTAGCACTGACAGTCAGGAGCTGGGATGAGAACTAGGGAAACAATGTACCAGTACCAAAAAATCCACCAGATTCCCCCTAGGTGTGCTGTGGAACAAAGCTATCTTGTGTTCTTTAAATAAAGGAAAACATTTAATTCAGAATGACCATGACTGTTGAAATGAATAAAATTTAATTTAAAGGTATTTCCGTCATAAGCTAAATTGCTAAGTAAAATTATCTCCATTTTTGATGTTTATAGTTTTACTACAAGTACAAAAACATTTTAAACTGCAAATGTAATTTTATTTTCTTTTGTAATTCTGTTATAATACTAAATCCATTTCAATAAGGTGTGTTTATGTCTTTATGTATATTATACACATGAATAAAAACAGATATTTGCTTCTGCTAAACCAAATTTTATGATTTTTCATATAAATGATTCATATTTTCATAAAAACATATAGAACATGTAGAAATGTAAAAATTATTTAAATAAAGCATAATCATGTTATATCATAGTATTTATGATCACTATAAAATTTTGTAATTGATTTTCTTGGTTACTTTTCTCTCATTTCTGGGACAAAATACCCAACACTCGAAATCAAGGAAGGAAACATCAGTTTAGCACACAGTTTGTGGAGGTTTCAGTCTGTAATCAGGCTCCGAGGCAGGGTAGCATGGCAGAGGGGCAACAGTTCTGGCTGCAGAAGACAGAAGAGCAGCAACAACAAACAGTGAGGAGTCAGTCTCTTTTCTTCCCTTAAACTGATGGCGGGTTACCCACCCACACCATCCCTGTGCCTTCCTTTGCATAGGCTCAGGATATTTACAGAGTGAGGACCCTGCCTCTGCTGAATCACTTTATCAAGCTGCTGAACTTCTCAGGTCTCAACTTGACACAATGTATCAACCACTCTACTGATAGAATTATATCACAGAATTTTAAACTTCTTACTGATATGAGATGTGCAGGCCCCATGGGTATATCATAGAACTTGAAACTTTAGTTCCCAACAGTACTAAGAAAGTAATATATGAAGTCTACTCTGTTTAGTTTTGTTTACCACAAAACTATTACCTCTCAAGTCTGCTTTGCAAATTTAAAGACAAAGAATCTATCTTCTTCCTATGTCATGTAGAATTTAATGGTATCAGCTAGTAAAGAATGAGTTTTTCAAAAACAATTTTGATGGCCCTGAATGGGTTAGTCCAGCCATTAGGAATCTAAAGCTGAAAAAACAAGTATTTAAGCTCGTAGTTTTGTGACATGCCTCACAAACACAGATGTGAACTTCCCTTACATGAATTTCTATCTTTATGGTGTTGAAACACTTTGACATCCCTCTAAAAATATAAAAATAAAAACTACACATGGGGTCAGGGATTTAGCTTAGCATAAGCACCTGCCTGGCAAGCGTGAGGTCAAGAGTTCGATTCCTGATGCCAAAAAACAAAACAAACAAACAAATAAAAAACAACAAACTACTCCTCTATATGTATGCAGTATATCTATATACTATATATTGACAATTCTAAGTATGCTGTCAAATAGTTATATAAATCAAAACATGAATGTATTTGTATGTATTCATAGATACAAATGCATAATGAAAGAACTGTATAAATTATGTATACCTTTCTGTAAGTTAAAGAATAAAGAGAAATTAGGAATGTTGAGTGCCTTCACACACGCCTCTAACCAGAGAACCTTCTCAATGGAGAAGTAGCAATAACTGGTCACTTAGAATTTCAAGAAACTTCTAATCATTACCTCAGGTTTTCCAATCACAGTTTTTGAAAATTTACAGTCATATTGTGCATGAAGTAACCTTAGAAATGCATATTTCAAAATGAGAATAAATTTTCATTTTTGAAATTTGTAATCCTATACTAAGTAAAATAAAAGTTAACAGAAATTCCTATAATCTTCAGGAAAATACAAGAAGAGTAAGAGACATGTTTGTATTTCTCAGAATTGAGTAACTGTCACATAACGTTTTGTTTTTAATTTCTGACATCATATGGCTTTGGATCTTGAAATTAAGTAGATTTCAGCTAATACATTATTGTAAAATCATAGAAACAATATAAAATGTGAATTGCTGAAATGAATTCCTGCTTATAATTTTAAATATAAAATATTTTGGTAATCATTTATAGCAAAAAGAAGGACTTTTATTTAATTATTTTAGCTTCCATATATGAAATAAAATCAAGTATATGCAAACTAATTCTTATTTTCATTCTTACTGCAGAATACATTTAAATGTTGGGGGTTGGTGTACTTCTAACTGACTGCATGAGCGCTGGCTGTTAAGGCCAACCATCTGTGTCAGGCTACACGAGCAGCGGAGGGGAATTTCATAGGTACCATATGCAAATGTCAGTCACCTCCACAGCACTGAGGGGAGTGTGCCAGGGAAATGGGCACCACAGCATGCGCCACTGAACACAAGAAATCTACCATCTTATCCTTTCTCTCCTGCAGTCCAAGACGAGGTTGAATAACTCTTTCAATTCTCCACAATCTCAGCTCAGTGCCTTAGGCACAGCAAGTGCTCAAGAAACAAGGATTAAACATATGTAGCAAAAGCACTATTCCTTCAGGCCTTGGGTGTTCATTCCCTTTTGCAAACCCTAAAGATTTATGCATTTAATTCTCTCCCTATCTTTGGTATAAGTGGTATAATCTCTTTGGTATAAGTGGTTGAAATGTGTCTTTCGGAATCATTTTCCTCCCATAAGTAAAGATTAAGCATGGATACCATACTTTTGTCCTTCATAGTTAAAGTTAAAAGAATGACAGTGCAATTCCAAATATAATTTGTCATCAGTAAGGTTAAGATTAAAAATGAGGGAATATGTAATCTTCCTTCAAACCTCTTAAAAATGCTCTTTGGTTGCTCTAAATAAAAATTCAATTTCAGTGCAATGTCAGATTACATTAGAGTTCAGCTTTGGCAATGTGTCATGCACTGTTGTATCTGTTTTTCTGACTTTTGTTTTGTGAGCTACGAGATTCTTGCTATATTTATCTTAGCTGTACACCTGATTTCATCTTGTTACTTAGACTATGAATGTAAACCAATTATACCCTATTGAAGACTGACAGCTTTAGAACTCAAACTGAAATGAGTTGTCCCATGATCATGATTAACTAAGTAATCAATATGGAAGAGCCATGGGAGGAGTTTAATATAAAGAAAATAGGCCAGTAAATTAGTCTGAGTCTTGGCTTTCCTAAAGATAAAATTAAGCACCAGAAAATAAAGAAGCTGCTATAGTCAGAAAGAGTTTAGCTAAGAGGACTGAGGTAACATCTGGACTGGAGCTTCATATTAAAATAGGCATCGGTGACGTCTTCAGCCAATGAATGTCCCTGTAATGAGTCTCTTCTGCTTTGCATCTCGATGGTCATTGTCGCTGCAGTGAAGAAAACAATCAGTGACATTTAAATGGATGCGTGCAGCTGCATCCCGTGAACTTTGTCTGCATAAATCGGAATTTTGTGTATTATTTTCATGTCATAAAACTGTATCTTTTTTTTTTTTTCTGTTGTTCTGCAATCAGCAAAAGACAGAGAAAACGTTGTTAGCCCCCAGCCAACATTAGAATAGACACTAGGCTGGATTTGGCCTTGGGGTTCTCACTTGGCTGTTTTCTGCCTTAGAAGAGTGAGAGAACATTTCACAGGAAATTAAATGTTTGAAACAACCCAGACCCGTGGAAATTACAGGCTGCTTGAAACTGTAATGCAAGCACAAGGCTTTCTCCACCCGCACATGTTACTTACATGTAGTTGTAGAAAGTGATTTTTGAAGAAAAGTAGATAAATGACTTAAAGGTAAAGCAAACAAATACATTTAATGCTTTTATAGTTTATTTCTCAGGTTTGGGGGCAGGTGCATGCTGTGAGCCTCACTGTGTTTGTAAATGAGCAGCACTGCAAGTCTTGCTAAGAGTGAGGAACACTGGTAGATCTGGGACCAGGAAGCAGGAGCCACGCCTGAGCCCACGGAGCTGGCCTGCCAGGGTAATGGAGCTGACCTGCCAACACAGTCACCTTCTAAGATGGGCATCCTGTGCTTGGTGGGAGGGGACCAGCGAGAAAAGAACTGTGGGAATTCAGAGATTGGAGGGCAAAACATTTCGCTGGTTAATCATTGCAATAAAGAAAAGTGGGGAAGTACAAATAGAAGATGAGAGAATGTGCTACCATTCACACAACCATAACTGTGAACTAAAAACTTTCACCTCCTGTAGTAACCTATCTTGTAATCCTCTAAAATTCTGGGACAAGGTAATATATATGCAGGAGATGCAGTTTAATATGGAAACAACCCAGCAGGACTAAGTTCTAATTAGGAGCAGAATTATCTTCTTCTATTGACTCATCTTCATTAGCTTTAATATCTTATTAATCCCTGTCCCTCTCCGTGGAGTATGTTCCTACAGAATGAGGCTTAATGACACTCTGATATTGTTCCTGATGGTTTTTTCTTCAGGGTGTGTTACCTTAATCTTATTTTTGTCTCTGATATTTTTATCTTCCTTTTATCCACCAAACGTCTAATGCATGACACAAACATGTTTTTCTTCAATTCTGATGCATAGAAATAAATATTAATCTATGTAATCTGAAAAATATGCTTGCTATTATCAAATGGGATTTAACAGGCTACCATCAGAAATAACAACATAAGACAAAGCGAATAAAATCTACGTGTCTGTCAGGAAACTAGTAGCGCTGTAGACATGGTTGGAAGTCAGGCCGGGGAAGCAGCAGGCAGGTAGAAGCAGTCAGGGCAGCAGCAGGCAGATAGAAACCGACTCCCTGCCAGGGCTTCTTTCCCCCAGTGGCTCAGCCCGAGAAGGGGCAGGTCGGCCCTGGCCCTGTGCTTACCTGGCTGACAGTTAGGTCTCCAGACACTCCTACTTTTCATCGCTTTGGCAGGGCTTCCCAGCGGTTTTTACACAAGAGCAAAGAGTTTGTAAACCATTTCCCTATATCCCAAGCCTTTCACGGAACTTAGGTCTTATGTTCCCTTCTGGATGCCTTCAAGTGCATATTTCATGCAGTGTTCGTTTTCACACGAGTCCTCCTCCTCCTCCACGAGGCTCAGCCAGGCTGCAGAGAGGGCAGTTGTAGGACAGGACCGGTGTCAGCGGACAGCAGCAATGACCACAGGGCCGCGTGGCCTGAGCAGGTGCTGGATGCAGACTCCCCCTTCCCGGGTGCAGAGGACTCACTGGTGGCTCTGTGCACCCGTGACAGCTCCCGCCCCAACTGCTGAGTTCCTCACACCCACACCGAGGCAGCTGTGCCAGGCGCTGGACTCCCACCCTGGGCCCAGTAGCCCGAGCTCTCCTGGGAGAGCAGGTCTCTGCACACCCGGACTGATCCTGAGCCCCGACCGGACTTGATCAGCAGGCTTCACAGGCGCCTCTCAAATTAGCCCAGGTGTTTGGAAAACGTAAACGACAGGCCACGACTCTGCTGAGTCCTCTTATATTAGATTATTCTCCAACTTCTTTGCAAACAGAAAAACCAACTGTAGTGACTGCGCTGGTTACAGTGTTAGGTATCACGTGACTATTAGGTGTCACATGTGGTACAGCTGCTGCCAGCACTATTTTTAAATGAAAACGAATTCTCAGTGAAATTTATAGTGAAAGCGAGGTGTTCATTTCTTTGTGCGATGGGTTTGCAACATTAACAAGGCTTTTCTTGAACTCCTTGAATCAAGTTTCTCCTGTTTCAGCCCCCTTAGTAACCAGGATTATGGGGGTGTGCCATTGTGACCAGTTTTGAAAGTGTCATTATCTGTTTCATGTCTATTAAATACAAATAGTAAATGAGATCTATACAGAACAACTAATCCTCCATAAAAACTGAAAAAGAAAGAACATAGCTTATGAGCTAATAACTGGGTTGTACAAATCAAATAAATTAGATATTAATCATTAACATTCAGAACTAAACAATGAATCATGTGAAACACTGAAATAGTTGTTTACTACTGTTATATTAATAGATATTTATCATCGCACATATATCTAACATGCAGTTCAACGGATCTTTCTTCTTGGTAGATTTTCTATCTGTAAACCATGAGGATCACTAATGTTTTTTTTGTTTTTGTTTGTTTGTTTGTTTTTGTTTTTGTTTTTGTTTTTGTTTTTTTGGTCTTTTTCCTTTTTATCGGTACCGGGGATCGAACTCACGACTGCCTGCTTTCAAGGCAGGCGCTTATGCCGCTGAGCTAAATACCCAGCCCCACTAATGTATTTTGAAATGAAGATACAAATCATGAGTTAAGTCACAGTTTAAACTGACTTTTACCTATGTCTCCCGGAGTGAATCACAAAGACTGTGATTCCCTTAATAATTATATACTGACAAAATAAAAGAAGGAATTAGGACTTTTGGGTTCTTCTTGTTTTCGAGTCAACGTGACCGTCCAACGCGCCTTCCTTCCATGGTCAGCATGCAGTGGCCCGAGGATGGATCCACGGAGGTACAGGCCTGTGACCTGCGGCCCAGCAAGAAGCTGGAGACGGGAAACGATAAGGGGAGCGCTGGCTGCGCTGTGCATTTGGGAACTCATGGAGATGTAAACCAGAGGGAAAAACTGAAACGAGCACGTTTCTCTAGAAAAGTCAGGGAGTGAGGTTCCAGATGCACGGCCTGGTCACTGACTTCGCTTTGAGCAGAGATGGTGCGCGGGCCACCTGCCCTGTTAACGCCCTCCGTGGCTACAACTCCAGCTCCAGGAGCGAGCTCGCCTAGCTGCAGACTCACCGTGGGTGTCGTTTTCTGTCTCCCACTGCAGGATGAGGTCTGTCCTAGAGCCCAGGGAGAGGCGGACCAGCGGTGCGTGTGGGCCTCCGCGGTCAACGTCAAGGACAAATTCATTTATGCCGCGCAGCCCACGCTCAGCAGAGTCCTGGTGGTGGATGTGCAGTCTCAGAAGGTGGTGCAGGTAGGAGTTGCTGAATTCGGGGTTGGAGAACCTTCACCTCGGTGGGCAGCTCTCCCAGGTGCCCTGCCCACGGCCATCTGCCTGTCACTCATAATTACTGGGGTAACTGGAAACTGTTTGTACCTTCCGCAAATTCTCTTCTCATTCTATCCAGTGAGGCTGGTGAGCTGAGCAAGTTACTCTGTTTTTAAAAATCGGATTCATGAACACACCCAACACCACTCTCTGGCTCCCCAGAGTGACCTTTGGTGGGTAGGTCCCAAGCCAAGGGAGGCTCAGGGACGGTTCAGACACCTTCAGTCATCATCACAAATCCGAAAGAGGCTCCTGTCTGTTCCTAAGAGCTGAGGCAAGCATGGGCTTCCTGAGCAGCTGCTTAGTGCTGCAGGTAACCAGAAGCTAAGCAGGCAGACAGCACATGGGGGGGGGGCAGGGAAGTGGGCCCTGAGGGTGAGCACGGCGGTGGTCAGTCTCACAGACTGTGCTCCGGGCCGGGCACGGTCAAGCACTCTCTCCCTCACAGCCTGCTCCAGGCTGTGGTCCGCATTAGGGTTCACTGCTCCCCAGCGCAAGAAGTACACTTGCACTGGATGGGGACCATGGGAACAGCAGGTGGCTTAGAGGTTACAATGAGCATGGAGTGAATTATTCATGCAGGCCTTTCCAGCAACCTTCACGTGAGGACTAGTGTATGCACCCGTAGATGATCAGATCCTCTTATAGACAGAGACCCAAGTCAGCCTTACATTTTTACAGAACTTTCTGAGTCACTGTGGGCTTGAAATTAGCGTTTTAATGTCAACTCCTGATTAGAACAGAAAGTAATAAGAAATCCATTTAAATCTAAATTTAAATTTAGATTTAACTAGAAACATATTCACTGCAATCACATTTCTTTTTTTTTTTTAATTTTATTTAAAAGGAAAAAGAAAAAAACAGAACAAAACAAAACAGTGTAAGGGTACATAGCTGGAATAAATGGGACTTCCAATCCCAGCTTTTTGAGAAATCTCCAGACTGACCTCCACAAAGGTTGTACCAGTCGACACTCCCACCAACAGTGCAGGAGAGTTCCTTTTTCCCCACAGCCTCTCCAGCATTTGTTGTTGTTGGTTTTCTTGATCCTAGCCATTCTTTCAGGAGTGAGATGGAATCTCAGTGTGGTTTTAATTTTCATTTCCCTAATGACAAATGATGATGAACATTTTTTCATGTATTTATTTGCCATTGTATTTGTTCATCTGAGAAGTGTGTATTCATCTCAGATGCCTATTTTTGGATTGGGTCTTTGAATATTGGGGTCTGAGTTTTTTTAATTCTTTATATGTTTTAGACAAAAGTCCCTTGTCTGAGGGGGAGTTCACTAAGATGTTTTCCCAGTTTTCAGGTTTTCTTTTCTCTATGTTGGAGATTTTTTTTTGACTTGCAGAAACTTTCTAATAAGAGGTGATCCCAGTTATTGATTCTGGGAAGTATTTCCCATGCAATTTGAGTCCTGTTCATGAATTCTCTACCTACTCCTATGTCTTCAAGGTTTCTACCTAATTTGTCTTCCAATAGATTTAGTGTTTCTGTTTTAATATTCAGATCTTTGATCCATTTAGATTTTAATTTAGTACATGGTGATAGGCTTGGGTCTAGTTTTAGTCTTCGGCAAATGGAGAGCCACTTTTTCCAACACCATTTATTAAAGAGACTGTAGTTCTTCCAGTGAATCTGCTTGGCTCCTTTAGCAAAGATAAGGTGGTTGAGCGTGTTTGTAGTTGTGGTTGTATCTTCTAATCTATTCCATTGATCTTTGGCTCTGTTTTGATTCCAGTACCATGTTGATTTTACTACTGTTGCTTTGTAGTATAACTTCAAGTCAGGTATTGTGATGCCTCCTGTCTTCCCTTTGTTGCTTAGAATTGCCTTTGCTATTTTAGGTCTCTTCTGGTTCCAGATGAATTTTAGGACTGATTTCTCTAGATCTATAAGGTATGTTGATGGTATTTTCATTGGGATTGCATTGAATCTCTGTAACAGTTTTGGGAGAATGGCCATTTTTACAATGTTTGTTCTTCCTATCCATGAGCATGGGATGTCTTTCCATTTTCTGAGATCATATTCAATTTCTTCTTTCAGTGTATTATAATTTTCCCTGTATAGGCCTTTCACTTCTTTCATAAGTGTAATTCCTAAATATTTCATTTTTTTGCTTGCTAGTGTGAAGACTGTGGCTTCTCTTATTTGTCTCCCTGTGATTTTGTTGTTAGTGTATAGGAATGCTATTGATGTATGAGTATTGATTTTGTATCCAGCTACATTACTGAATTTATTTATTATATATAAGAGTCTTTCAATGGAGTTTAGGGGGTCTTCTGTGTAGAGTATCATGTCATCTGCAAACAATGACAATTTAACTTCTTTTCCTATCTTTAACCCTTTTATTTCTCTCTCTTGTCTAATTGCTCTGGCTAGTACTTCCAGTACTATATTAAATAGGAGTGGTGATAAAGGACATCCTTGTCTTGTGCCTGATTTTAAAATAAAAGCTTTCAACTTATGGCCATTTAGTACGATAGTGGCTGTTGGTTTTTCGTAGATGGCCTTTATTATATTGAGGTAAAGACCATCTGTTTCAATTTTCTGTAAAGTTCTTATTATGAATGAATGTTGGACCTTATTGAAGGCTTTTTCTGCATCTATAGAAATGATCATGTGATTCTTACTTTGGCTTTATTGATATGGTGGATTACATTTATTGATTTACATATGTTGAAGCATCCCTGCATGCCTGGGATGAATCCCACTTGGTCATGGTTTATAATCTTCTTGATGATTTGCTGCATCATATTTGCCAATATTTTATTGAGGATTTTTGCATCTATGTTCATTAGGGAGATTGGTCTGTAGTTCTCTTTTTCAATTCAGTCTTTCTCAGGTTTTGTTACTAGAGTAATATTTGCTTCCATGAATGACTTGGAAAGGATTGCTTCCCTTTCAATTTCATTGAAGAGTTTGAGCAGAGTCGGCCTTAGGTCTTCTTTGTATTTCTTGTAGAATTCTGTAGTGAATCTGTCTGGGCCTGGGCTCTTCTTTGTAGGTAAGGAACTTATTACATGTTCAGTTTCATTGATAGAGATTGGATTATTCAGCAGTTTTACATCCTCTTGATCTAGCTTTGGTACTTCATATGTTTCTAAGAATCTGTCTATTTCTTCTGTGTTATCAAACCTTTGAGAGTAGAGGTTTTCGAAATAGGTGTTGATGATCTTCTGTATTTCTATAGAGTCTGTATTGATTTCACCTTTTTCATGTCTTATTGCATGAATTTGAGCTTTTTATTCCATTTTTAAAACAAGGTTGACTAGGGGTTTATCGATTTTATTTATTCTTTCAAAGAACTAATTTTTTGATTCGTCGATTCTTTGGATTGTTTTCTTAGTCTCTATTGCGTTGATTTCTGCTCTGATTTTTATAATTTCCTCTCTTCTTTTGGCTTTGGGCTTGACTTGCTCTTCCTTTTCTAGCTGTTTGAGGTGTAGCATCAGGTTATTTATTTGTATTTGTTCTGTTTTCCTGATGTGGGAACTCAGTGCAATATATTTTCCTCTGAGGACAGCTTTAATTCCATCCCACAGATTCCAGTAAGTTGTATCTGTGTTTTCATTTTCTTGTAGGTATTGCTTAATTTCTTCTTTAATTTCCTCTGTGACCCACTGATTATTCAGGAGTGTGTTCCCATGTGTTTGTGGGAATTTTGCAGTATCTTTTATCATTAATTTCTAATTTCATATTGCTATGGTCCGATAGCATGCAAGGGATAATTTCAACTCTTTAGCATTTATTTAAATATGTTCTGTGAGTTGATATATGGTCTATTTTAGAGAATGACTCATGTACTGCTGAGAGAAATGTGTATTCTCTTGTTGTTGGGTGGAATGCTCTGTATATGTCTATTAAGTCCATTTGTTCACAGGTGCGATTCAGTTCTTTTATTCCTTTGCTGGTTGTCTGTCTGGTTGATCTGTCCATTGGTGTTAATGGTGTGTTAAGGTCTCCTGTTAGAGTTGTGTTACTGCTAATTTGGTTTTTCATTTCTTTTAGTACTTGTTTTATATAACTGGGTGCTCTGGAGTTTGGTGCATATATATTTAAGATACTTATCTCTCCCTCTTGGAGTTTTCCCCTAACTAGTATGTAGTGACCTTCTTTATCCCTTCTGATCATTATTGGCTTGAAGTTCACTTTGTCTGCAAACAGAATAGCTATGCCCACTTTTTTGGGGGTTCCTGTTGCATGAAGTATTGTTTTCCATCCTTTGACTTTCAGTCTTGAGTATCATTTTGGGTTAGATGGGTTTCTTGTAGACAGCATATGGTTGCATTTTGTTTCTTGATCCATTCTGCCAGTCTGTTTCTTTTAATTGGTGTATTGAGACCATTTTCATTAATGGTTAGAACTGTTATATATTGGTTTATTGTTGACATGTCATCTTTCTGCTGTTGCATCTTTATCTTTCTGCTCTGTTTAATTGTCTGCTTTGTTTAGTGGTTTTTTCCTAAATCTGTCTAGGCTGTCTTTCAGTATTCTTTGCAGGGTTGGCTTGGTGATCATGAAGATTTTCAGCTGATCTTTGTCATGGAAGAATCTTATTTCTCCATCAATTTTGAAAGACAGTTTTGCAGGGTACATCAGCCTAGGTTGGAAATAATTTTCCTTTAGGATCTGAAATACTTTACTGCATGCTCTTCTTGACTTTATTTTTTGTGCTGTTAAGTCTGCTGTGATTCTGATAGGTTTTCCTTTACAGGTGATCTGTGTTTTCTCTCTGACAGCTTTTAATATTCTATTCTTTTGTTCGATTTCTGGGATGGTCATTATTATATGTCTGGGTGTAGATTTATTTTGGTTATGGCTATTTGGAGTTCTATATGCTTCATTGATCTTGATACCAGTTTCCAATCTTGTGTTTGGGAAATTTTCAGCTATTACTTCTCTAAATATCCTCTTGACAT